TCAGTGTGTTCCATCCTCAAAAGGATGATGTCTGGGGCATTGAGAGATGGGGGAAACTACTATGGAAGACCCATCCCTTTCTTGCAGAAAACTCTCTGATGGGTCTTTTCTTTTCTCCTTCCCATCTCAGAGCCTTGCCATCTTGGCCTCCAACTCTCCTGCTTCTGCATTTCAGGGAGCTTCACTGACCCTAACAAGGTGGACTCAAGACTTAGGCTCTTTCCGCCTTCAGAAGGTTTGGGTCATGGTTTCTGTAATTCCTCTTCACGCCTGAGGCCATGATTCCTTCAAGATGATTGGAAATTTTTGCCGTACTTTTGTTGCTATTCATTGGAAATCTCTGGAGTCTCTGCACTTGGGTTCCATTAGATTGATTATTGATGTTCTGGATCCCCAATTCATTCCCCCTTACCTGTGGCTGGAAATCTCTCGGCGGTTCTTTCATGTCTTCCTTTCCTGGTCGACTGCTTCCCCTTCGTCGCCTCGTTTTGTTTCCGTCCACACCTCTTCTAGTCCTTCACCGGAAACTTACGGTAAACCCCGTTTTGAAGAGTGGACTGTGGTTTCCAGAAACCGGAACTCCCAGCGTCGCAACTTCTAAAAATGCCATCAGCAAGCGGCTTATCATCGTCCATTTCCCGATCCATAGCCGCGCACCATCTAGACTGCCAACCGTTTCGATCTGCCACCCCCCTTGCGGCCCAAGGCAGGGTCAAACGTCGTACCCTCACCTACCCAAGGTGACGCTACACATGCCACACATCCTTCTGAGCTTTCCCTCAACTTGACGCATGGGGGCGGAGTGTCGGTTTCGACGTACACCGACTGTATGCCGCCTACCTCAAGCCCCCCACCCGCTCCTCCCGCCCCTTTCCCCCCTCCATCATCCTCTGTCTCTCTCTCCCATCCTCTCACCTACCCCTCCCCTCTCCCGAGGCATCCCTACCCACAGGAAAATTTGTTTGCTCTTCTTTGTTTACCCACACCCTTACCTTTGGATCCTTCACCCCCTCTTTCCTTTCGTCTTTTCTTCCCTCTTCAACCGATGAGGTTTCTGGCCACCTATCTGTCCCGTTGAATGGAGAAGCTTCTTCCCTCCTATTCTGCCACAGCCGCCTCTTCTCTCCGGGCAACTACTTCGGTCTCTGTTCCTTCACCCTCCCCCCTTTCCAGACTCATCTTTCCCCTACCCGACCCCCCACCTTCCTCGCTCCCTTTGATTATGCTCCTCCTTCCCGTCCTGTTGTAGCCTCCATCTCCTTCGACCCTTCCACCATTCCTCCTCCACCCTCAACCCAGTCACCGCCCCCCCCCCACCTCAACTTGGACTCTCCCCTTGGTTCGCTTGCCCCCCCAGACCCCGAGGCTTGCACTATGGACCCCTTCTCCTCTATCTCTTGGAACCCCTCAGTGGTTTCCCTGTTGACCCCTCCAGCGGGGACCCCATCATTGTCTCTTTCCCAGTAACCATCCATTTACCCTGCTGCCCCTCCTCCCATCCCCTCTTTCCTCTCCGAAACCCACCCCCTATGCTTTTTCTCTTGGGACCCACCATCTCTTTCTCTTGCTCCCTCTTTCCCCTTTCCTTTCCTTCTCTGCCCTCCCTCCTTTTACCCCCCTACGCTTATACCCCTCTCCCTTGCACCAGTTCACTGTGATTTCTTTAATCCCCCCCCCTCTGGCCCCCTAAATCCTCCTAATTCTCCCGCTGATAATCTTCTTGACTCTCTTCTAGAAGTTACTTGAGAAGCCCCACCTTACAATTTCCTGGACGACGAAGCTGCAGTATTTAGGCCCACGCCTCAGGACAAAGTCCTATCGGTCTGACTTCTTTCTTGATGCAGCCCCATTCTTAGCAACCTCCGCCTTCGGGAGAAGGATCTCCGGTGCCTTGTAGCGCCTCTGGGTCTGCATATTCTAGCTTCTCCTCGGCCTCTGTCCCGCCTCCAATGTTGGTGGACTTCTCTTTTGTAGACAAAATGGATCGAGCACAAGGAAAGATTCATAATGTTATGGACGTCATGGTCTTCCCCTTCAATAAGTTCTTCAACACGAAAACCCTTGCCAAATTCAGGGTCAGTCGCAAAGGAAAACATGAACTAGATAATTTGGTCTATAATATTAACTATGATCGTGCTGCTTCTCTACCTCTATCGCCACCTGCTTCAGACCCCATTCTCCAAGGGTCTCTGGTAAGAAGATCCCCGAGGATCTCCACCCTAATCCGCCTGCCCTAATGCTTATTCTTTCTTGGAATATCCGAGGGTTAGGCCTCCTAATAAAAAACAGGCGGTGAGGGATTTTTATATGAAATAAAACCCCTCTATCCTTGCCCTCACATAAACTAAGTTGCCTGCACCCACCCTGCGTCAGATAAGACAAGCCTGGGGCAGACGGCCTTGCCAATGGGAAGCACTCCTTGCTAATGGAGCCTCTGGAAGCATTTGGGTAATTTGGGACCCAACAGCAAATACCCTTATCCATGTCTCCATGGGTTCTTTCTCAGTCTTAATGTTATTGTTCAGAGTTTTCGATGCTCTGCCGTGGAAATTCACGACCGTTTATGGGCCAAATTTAGACTCTTTGAGACTCACTTTTTGGGAAGAACTTAACTCCATAGCCTCTCTACCTCACCCTATCTGGTGTCTAGGGGGAGATTTTAATGTTACTCGTTGGTCCTTCGAAAGGAACTCGTCCTCTAGAATTACCCCGGCGATGCAAAGTTTATTGGATTTTGTTGCTCTAAACAACCTCTTGGATATCCCTATCCAGGGCACTCAATTTACGTGGTCTAACCATTCCCAAAGCCCCTCTCTCTCCATTTCTTGGCCTCCCTTGACTGGGACGAAACTTTTGCTGGTTCTCATGTCTCTGCCCTACCTAAACCAACATCCGACCACTACCCATTGCTACTCGACACACACCTGGTTTTAAGAGGACCTAAACCTTTTAGATTTGAGCTGGCTTGGTTCGAAGAGGATTGTTTCTCCTCCCTTTCCCCTGCCTGGTGGTCGTTTCTCAGGGACTCTGTTGCAGGATGGGCGGGTTTCAGATTTCAAAGAAAGCTGCAGCTCCTAAAATCCACTCTCAAAGCGTGGAGTAGAAACCTCCCAGGTTCCTTTGGACCCCAAAAACAGAATACTCTTTCTGCCATCCAAGACTTGGACAGTGTCCCGACCCTTGATTTACAATAATCTATCGGGAAATACTTTGACAACCCAATGATGATTAACATAATGGAAAATGACGAGTGTGGATTGAATGTATTTTTTCACAATTGAAAGCAAAATGATTGACAAAGAACATGATGAAGAAGATAGTTAAAAGATATATCAGGAACCTGCTGGATACTAATTTGTGATGTCAAAATTGTTATTGCATGGTAATATGGCCATTACCAAAGACGTTGGCACTAGAGCAGTTCCTTTGTGGTTTTGAGGATGTGAATTGATGTTTCATGTAATTGTCTCACATGGGCTATTATATGTTGTAAGAGATGTAAAGATTCATGTATTTTCAATGCCAAAAAGTAATAACATAATATCTTTTTATTATTCTTGCCACTGATCCAATATTTCTTTTTCTATTATTAGGTACACTTATTTTGCACTTTTTTGTTCATTGCAGGTGGATAGTGGCTTGAAAGATGACCTTGTATTGGGTGACCCCAATGCACCACGTTTTGTTTTATGGGGTGGAAAATTGAGACCTGTTCCTTCAAAGCCTACTGATTTACCCTTTTTTGACTTGATGAGCTTCGGTGGAAAGTTACGAGCAGGCTTTGGTGCACTTGGTTTGCGGCCTCCACCTCCAGTGTGTTCTCATGCATCCTTGCCCCTTCCAGTTTCTTCAAACTAGTTGCTGTTAAAGCTATATAATATATGCAAGAATATGCACGACGTGTGTTACATGCATATGGGTGTGGTTCTTGTGTTCCATTTAGGTGTTATGTGTTCATCTGTATATTACTTGTCATGTTAAATGCTCAATTCTTTGTGCTTCTAAATTGGCTTTGTTAGCTTCTTCTTGTGTCTCCACATGATCTATGTACATTTTATTGCCTACTCTTGTTTGTTATGACACAGTCTTTCATTGGATTTCTCATATTTATATTTTTGGAGAAGGCTACAGGGTCACGAGGAATCAGTTGAGGACTTTGTTCGTCGTAACCTTGGTGATGAGGTGTTCGAACGGTTGATTGAACCATTTTGCTCAGGTGCGTTCATGTGATGGAATTACCTCTTTTTGTCTTGAGGGAAAATCTTACATTTCACAATTTGACATTGAAGTGATGTCTGATATTTGTTATATCCTTCTGTTTTGTTTTTTTTTTTTGTTGTTGTTGTTTTTAATGGCTCTTGTGATATTCTGATGTTGTTAAGCCATCTTTAAACAGTTGTAGAATTTCACTTGTCAAAGTTTCTACAGTCACAATTGCTGTTGGCCTATCACATTAGAGGTAGATTAGGCTTAGGGCCAGTTTGGAGGGAGTAGTGATTAAAAGCACGGCGTCTTGGACTGGCCAAGGTCCCTAGCCTGAGTCAGTGGTCTAAATATGCTAAGTTGGTGGTCTCACTTAGCCATGTCTCTATGAAAATATACACAGAAGTGATTTGATCTGGTGAGACTCGCCTGAGTTTCAAAGTATTTTATCTGGACCTGGCACCTTGTTGAGTCCAAGTGAGCAAGTCCAAGCCCGAGTCACCAAGTTTTTAATGACTGGGATGGACCATTGTACAATATTTGTATTGTTATCTTCTTCCACTTGTGCAGGAACTTGATTGTAACTCATTTATTTTTGTTGCTTTTGAAATCCCTCTTATGTAGTAAACGCTGCCAAATAGTGGCAATTTGGTAACTGCTGGAGGAAAAGATACTGTATTTTCTCTTATTCTATATTAGTAGGAGGAAGAATATTCATTTGGGTGGCGTCCAAACTCGCCCTTAATGTTCTCTGACCAAATGTAGGTTCTCTTTAATTTTAAATTGTGAACAATGGCTACCTGTCCCCAGGTAAGCATATTTGGTGACTGCTAGTCCAGGGAAAATGGGTGTACATAAGTAAGGGATAGGGATCTTACAGTTTTTCTTAGCTTTCTCCTTTTCTATGTGTTTTATGTGATGTACCGCTATCAGGAATTGAGAAACCCTTTTGTGTTCCTCCCTCCACCCCCTCCCCTCCCCCTCCTCTTTTTGTTGATATAATATGGTCTTTTCTGTTTCTAATGGCTACAAGCTTGGCATCAGGGGTCTATGCTGGTGACCCAGCAAAGCTGAGTATGAAAGCAGCGTTTGGAAAAGTTTGGAAGTTGGAGCAGAAGGGTGGAAGTATCATTGGGGGTACCATCAAAACTATACAAGAGAGCAAGAAGAACCCTAAGCCTCCTAGAGATCTGTAATAAAAATTAGAATTTTTGTGCTATTTACTTTTGGTATTATTCTTTTAAAAACTGTGTGTGTTCTACTAATTGATATTTGTTGATTTTCCAGGCGATTACAGAAACCAAAGGGTCAGACAGTTGGGTCTTTTAAAAGGGGACTCAGTATGCTGCCTGAAGCAATTGCTTCGAGGTATGGCTGTTATGATAACTATAGTTGGATAGATTTTCTTCCTATAAGAAACTTGTTTCCATTAATGGCACGGTCTAACTCTCTGTCTAAATTGCTTGTCCATTGCATTTCTGGTCTCTTTGAAGAATCATCAGTTTAGTTGGTATCTTGGTTTTGAAAAATGTAGTTGCATTTCTTGTTGGCTATATATAAAAAATCTATACAGATCTAGGCTTCAAAATATCGTTGAAGATTATATTATGAACTTTTCGAATCACTTCTTTTCTTGGATTGTAATGCTGTTGATAAGCACTTTATAATATGGTTAAAGGCAGTGTTCGCAAATCGAACCGGAACGGTTAACCGGACATAGGCCCAAAAGCGGTTTAACTGGCCTAACCGGTAAACCGGCCAATTCAACCGTTCTAACCAGGCAAGTCCCGAGCTGTCAAAAAAGTGTTGAAAAAAATAAAAAAGATACAAAAAAAATATACTAAAATATGAAAAACATATAAATAATGATTAAAATAAAACACATTCAAATGAAGTTGAAAATTAATGAAAAAAATGGATTTTAACGAATCGATTTGTGCCTAAGGGTATTTTTAAAATTTTCTAAAAAAGATGGGAAAATATAAAAGTGAGTATTAATTACCAAAAAAAAATTTAATCTTTACCATAATGTAAAGAATATTAAAAAATACATTACAAACCAAATTTCTTATTTTTGAAAATTTATATACATCTTTTTGAATTTTTTTTTTAAATACAGGTCGATCCCCTAAACCGCCCAAAAAAAGCCGGTTCCGATCTAACCGGGCGATTAGCTGTTAGATCGCCCGGTTTTCACAATCGTGGTTAAAGGTGCTCTAAACTTTTGGCAGGCATGTGCATTTTAGGTTGTAAATCTCTATCTTCTTTGTATTACTCAAAACTTAGTCTTTCTGTTGTTTTCTGATTCCATGGGATAAGAGCATATTCGTGCTTACAGCTCATGCATATGGAACAGTAGTTCACACTTCTCTGCTGGAAACATTTAATTATGACTGCTGGTTTTAAGTCATCCATACTCCATGTCCCATTCCTACATACTATAAACGTTTTCCTATTTTAAACTATTGAGTTTTTCTTTTTGATTGGGTTTAACTATTTGAAGATTTATTTCAAGTAATTGAAGTTTCTTTTTCAAGCGTTTCTTTATCAGAGGGACTTGTGGCATGTCTTGTTAATTTTGCAGGCTCGGTGGTAAAGTTAAATTGTCTTGGAAGCTTTCAAGCATTAAACAGCTGGATGGAAGAGGGTATACTTTGTCTTATGACACACCTGAAGGATCGTTATCCATCCGGACAAAGAGCATTATTCTCACAGTCCCATCTTACGTTGCTAGCAGCATCTTGCACCCACTCTCCGTATGTTCTTCTTCACCTCTTTTGGAATGGTTCAGCAGTTAACAATTTTGCAGTTTTTACTTTTCTTGGTCTTGATCATTTAATGCTTTCATATTGTTTAATTCTGTTAGAGACAGTCTAACTTGGTCTATTTTCATTGTTACCATATTACAATGATTTGCATAAAATGTGGTCCTTGTAATACTCAATATCATAATAATGTTAAAGTGGCATAATTATTTTTGTCCCCACCAGATTAAAATTTCCAATATTCCATTATCATCTAATTTTACAAGACTTGGACCACTCAAGAAGTACCACATAACGTGTTCTTTGTGAGCCTTGATGATCTGTGTATAATCAAATCACAACACCTGAATGTTCCTATCAGCATTATTACTTTTTAGTCATGGAAACCTAAAACTAGAAACGTATGTATTTAAATATGTAAATTGGTGACAAAAAAGAAATGAGGAAAGAGGAAAAGCTGCAAAATAATTTAATACCAATCAGGGGGTAGCTATGTATGTTGATGTGTAACTACCTCATGATTTTAGCAAGCCACCTAAACAATGGTAAGCAGTAGGTGGATTAGTAAAACTATTTGGTGACTAGATTGCCTCCTGTGTTTTGGATGGGAAAATAGAAACATTGAGTGAGGCTATTAAAGATATTGGATGCTAAACTAGCCCGATGGGAAAATAGAAAACATTGAGTGAGGTATTGAAGATATGGGATGCTAAACTAGCCCTCAAAAATTACACTATTGGAATGTTACATGAGCATCGTCGCCTGAGGATGATAGAACTTCCCAGAGCAAGTAAATTGAGCTTGAATCAAAGTCTATTTAACTTGTTGAAATGGATGTCTATTTCAAGCATGAGGGCGAGGTCTACCTTGCCAGTAGTTCTTACTTCATTGTGTCAACTTTTACCTGCAGATAGTACATCATGTCAATTTCTACCTGCTATGATCTTTTTAGGGTGCCGAGTGGTTTATTGCATTTATTATCTTTTTTGTTTGATTGATGATATTGTGTCTCCATCAAAAAGAAGGAAATATAAGAAGGAAAAGGAAAAAAAGAAATACTTTTGTTTCATCTTACATATAATTAATCTCCTACTTTCCCCTAGTAATGGTAAGGCCCTTGTTTCGATGCTAGTTTGACTTGCTTATTTGCAGAATGATGCTGCAGATGCTCTTTCAAAGTTCTTTTACCCACCAGTGGCAGCAGTTTCTGTTTCGTACTCCTATGAATCAATTCGCAAGGAGTGCTTGATAGATGGTCAACTGAAGGGGTTTGGTCAATTGCATCCTCGCAGCCAAGGTGTAGAGACATTGGGTATGTTCTCTTTCTTAGCATCTCTGCCTACCTATAATACTTCTTCTCAGAAATGAGCCATGTGGTTGCACCCTGATACACCATAGTTTTGTTAAAAGATCAAATTAAGGATTTTTCTTCTAAAATGACTTCTTTTCTTTTTTTGTTTTTCATTTTTGTTTTCTTGGACATGCGTGTATTTGTGTGAAAGCTTTTGTTTCACTTTATTTCTCAGAAGCACCTGGAAGCCATCATGATTATTTTTCATAACATTATTTTAGCAAAATTAATTTTTGGTCCATTTCAAGCTCTCGAAGTTAGTTTCTCTGTCTTCAATTTGCAGGAACGATTTATAGCTCATCACTTTTTCCAAATCGTGCTCCACCTGGCCGGGTGCTTCTCCTTAACTACATAGGGGGCGCAACCAATCCTGGAATTTTGTCCAAGGTATGCATTCTTGCAATGCGTTTCAGTAGCTGATCTCAATTGAGATGTTATACAACACAACAGGAGTAGGTTTTTCACTGCATCATAGGAGTTTATTTCCAAAGGTTCCCTCCTTTCCTTGTGTATCTATAATTCTATAAATTTGTGTTTGTGCGAGAATTACAAGTCCATGCTTGCAATTCATGCACAAACAATGATGAAGATCCTAATTTTCTATTCCCTGGACTTGAAATTTCAGCATTTTAACCTTCTTGGCTTGCGAAAACTTTCATATGAGAGCCCAAGGTGTTAATCCCGAATAGAAATATCTTTTTTCAGCTGAAATGACAATTTTAGAAGACTTAAGACTTTACATGGCTTATGTACACTGCAAAGACCATTATCTTTGACCAAGGGCATCTCTCTCCCATATTGAATTGTAAATGTAGTAGGACAAGATAAACAAGTACAAAATCAAACACGAGTGCATCTAAGAATAAACAGACTTGTGAGTGATGCGGTTTGACCGTTTATTTGTTATTAGAGTGAGAGCATGCTTGTGGAGGCAATTGACCGAGATCTTCGAAAAATGCTTATCAATCCAAATGCTGAAGACCCTCTTGTTCTTGGGGTCAGAGTATGGCCTCAAGCCATTCCCCAGTTCTTAGTTGGGCATCTCGACCTTCTTGAGGCTGCAAAGGGTGCTCTGAGAGATGGTGGGTTTGAAGGGCTCTTTCTTGGAGGTAATTATGTGTCAGGTGTAGCTTTAGGCCGATGCATCGAGGGTGCTTATGAGAGTGCCATGGAGGTCTCAAATTTTTTGGCCAAATGTGTGTATCAGTAGTGGTGTCTGCCATCTGAAACATTTACAGCGGTTTGGTTGTTAGAGAAATGGCAGTTTTTTTGGTCCTATGTGATTCTAGTATGATTAATACTTGGCCATTGTATTTTACTTACTGTTAATGAAGTACATATCTTTTTAACTTCAAAAAAAAATGAAGTACATGTCGTTTTTATATGCCCTTTATATACCTTTTTTATATGCTCTCTCTCTCTCTTCTCATAGATTTGGACACAGATTTTTTTGCTGCGGAGCTAATCCAAGCGCTTTTAAAATTCTTACGTAATAACGGAGTTGAACAGGGCTCGGTCTTGCTGGCAGTATCATCTGAGCCTCATCTATTCTCACTGAGGGCGAGTTTGGATGTAACAAAAAATGCAATGTTTTCAAATGACAGAAAAAAATATTGAGATGGCAATTGGGAACCTTCTGGATTATATTTTTACATTTTATTCCCCAATAAAACGGATTATGACATATTTTTACATTTTATTCCCCAATAAAACGGATTATGATGTTAAGCCAAATTTGCCCAAAAAACGTTAGTGTAAAAGATTTGAGTTAGACTCAAAACTTTTTTGCTCAAATTCTTTTTCGCTTTCCAGTTGACATTTTTCTCCAAACCTTCAAGTCCCATTTACAAAATTTATCTTCTACTCTCAAACAGGCCTCACAGCTCTTTATTTCTCTCATCTAACTATATATCTTTTTTTAGTTTTCCTCTTCGTGCCTTTTTTTTAAACCTTCCTGCTTTGAGTCGCACTTATAAAAGCCTCACGTCCACTCTCACAGCTCTTTCTTTCTCTCATCTTCAATCCTATTTTTCAATACTAATTCGACTTTTTCTCTCTTTAAAAAAAATAAACCTTTCCATCTTTCTCTTTTCATAGAGCTCTCTCAAGCATTTTGATGCACCCCTAAATTAATAGAGCTCTCCTTGGCATTTCGACAGGCGGTTGTAATCCTAGATTCTTTTTTCTTACTCTCTCTACAAATTGGCATTTCGACGGGCGGTTGTAATCTTAGATTCCCTTTTCTTACTCTCTCTACAAATTCAGGGTTTAGCTCGATATCTCTAATAACCGTGATTCTTCATCTTTGGGTCTTGAGAGTGGAGTTTTTTTTTGTTATTTTTCATCTAAATTTAATGGGATGGTCTTCGGGTCTTGAGAGTGGATTTTTTTTTTGTTGTTTTTCCATCTAAATTTAATGAGGTGGTTTTTTGAGTACGTAGAGGGAGATATTTTACACCCTCACAACATTTGGTTTATAAAAGAAGTCTCACCTCTTTTGCCCATCCATCAAGTTTTTCTCTCTAATAATAATATTAAACTTCTCATTATCTATGTCTCCTACATTTATAGGAATAAACTGCAGATCTAGAGAGAGAATAATCAATATAATTAAATTATGAAATTGTATAAATTTAAATTTTGAAATTGTGTAAATTGGGTTTATATAATAAAATTATGAAATTATGTAAATTTAAAATTTGAAATTGTGTAAATTGGGTTTGAGATTTCTAATCGATCTCTTTAAAATTTCATATTTTGATTTATTTTTCTATCATTTTCGACTGCTCTATGGAGATCAATAATATGCAAAAAATAAAAAGAATTTTTTTAAAAAAATCGAAATAATATTTTTTTAAAAAATTATAGGCGATTGATTTTTGTACTTTTCCAAAATTCAAAATTGAACTTTACAAAATTCATTTTTTTCTGTTGGTATTTATAAAATTTGTTTTTAAATAACAAAATCAAATTTAACAACCCATATATCTCCCCTAAAAGAGATGTTTTTCAAATTGTCTATTAGTAATAGACTTGCCACGTTGTTTTTCAAATGGTCTATTAGTACTTCGTGCATAGACTTGCCACGATAGTATAAACTATTTAAGCCCGAGTCATTTGTTATATGAGTGTTTTTTTTTTTATCTCCATGTTTGTAAACATGTTTTACCAAAAAAAATATATATAAATTTAAAATATGACTACATTAGTTGTAAAGAAATACAATCCAACTATCACGAAAAATGTAGTATAAAATCCAAAAAAATAATAATTTTTAAACGATAAAAATTACACAACGTAACTACAATAGTAGACTAATAAAAATAATGCTTGAATTAATATACCTCTTAAATCTCTTCCAACAATCTAATATTTTTTTTTCAAGGGCTTGAAATTGGTTTCCAAATTTGATATTTATTTGAAGTTATGTGAAAATCAGTGTTTCAAAACGTTAGACGACACCTCAGCAGTTGGGGTCCAAGCCGCCCACCTCCTAGCCGGGCGCCCAGAACCTGGGCAACCCAGTATAATTTTTTTTTGGGTTTTCTCTCTCTAAAATAGCTTGGGTTTTTTATTTTAAATGAATCTAAAACCCACAATTTTGGCCCACTAGAATTGTACGTAGGGATATCGGCCTACTTTGGCTTCCTAGGCCTGGGCAATGCACCCAAGCCTTTTGGACCACCTAGGTGCTGGGCGGTCCGCTTTTTAAAACAATGATGAGAATATATATGGAAGGTTTTTATAGAAAAGGTTGATCACAATTAAAGCATGTAAGTCTTACATGTTGAAACCATGTGATCTCAAGCATATTATTTCATTTTTTTATAATATGCTTAAACGTATGTGATTCCATGTCCAGAGTTAAAGGCATACAAAATGCATGCTATTTTGTATTTAAGGTTGGTCAAAAGTTTTTTATGTAATGAGAAAAAAAAAAAAAAATTGAATTTAGAATTTATTGCAATGCATCTAAACCGACATATCTAATAAATAAAATTTTCTTCTCATTATTTAATAGACATCTAAACAATTTACCAACATAATACAATAAAACGATAATGTTTCTCAATTGAGGAGGAAAAAATTGCGTTTTTTTTCAATGTGAATATTTTTTTCTTTGACATCCAAACTGGGTCTAAGGGATTAAAAAAAATTGACTATTGGGTAGAGGCTCATCATCGCCATTGACTTACCAGAAAAAAAAGAAAAAAAGAGAAAAATGGGGGGTTGTATTGTCTATGATGTTGCCAGACCATGATCGGTTGAGGGCGGGTCCACCTTCTATGGCTAGGCCTAGGCTCAAAGAATATAAGTTAGGCTAGGCCCGAGCTCAGCTTGCGGGCCTCATAAGCTGTCAGAGCCCAGATTTTGGGCCTAATGGAAGCATTACACTTTGTGGCTGCCGATATAATAGGTTCAAGCCAGGCTTAAGCTCGGCTTGGACTTGGTCCAAACTTCTACGGCTATGCTCGGGCCTGAATAATTTAGCTAGGCTAGGTTAATTCCCCTCCTGTGGGCCTCTTAGGACTGTCTAACCAGCCCAGCCTAGAGGCCCCACAAGCTTGGTTTGCCCTATTGGTAGCCACAACTTGCAATTTCATTGGGCTAATGAGATGTTTAGGACATTTGGATTGGCATTATCAGATTCTCAAGTTGATCCTATTGAGTTAATAAGATTGTCTATCCAGATCGAAAATCATTCGTAATGGTGAAAAATAATATCATAAAGTGTTCAACACCATCATTATCATTCAAGCTTTATCGCAATTACTTGGGGTTAGTTGCACAAATCATGTCCTAGACATTTTGCTCTATCAAAGACCTTACCTTCAACCAAAACATAAGTCACTATATCATTAAGAGAAATAAAACACAAAAACTTACAAAATACTCATATGTTCTTTATTTTCATTAGTCCAAATTGCCAGATCGCTCGATCTAGATGGCCGATCCAGCCAATCTAGATTGGAGTCTATCAATGGGCTATCCATCCCACCCAGCCGTATTGTATTCCAGTGTGAGGCTTGAACTATTAGTAAAACGACAATGTTTCCTTCTTGTGGAAATGAGTCACCTCTTAAAATTATATTTTTGAGATAGATTTTTTTATCTAATTTTAAAGACATGGAGATCATGAATATGAAAAAATAAATAAATTTTAAGATAATAATTTTATTAATTTGGATAAATATTAAAATTTTAAAATAATAATTTTATTAAAAAAACATTTAAACTGTTAGTTTGGACCACCTGTTTGCGGCCATCTTTCGGATGGATGCTTTTACACTTCAGGGACCACAAATGTAGAAATGCGGTCCCCGCCGCATGAAATAATTTTCCTTAATAAAAAGGAACGTTGAGATGCACTTGTTTTTAGTGGAAATGAAGAAGAGAAAGTGTATCTCATCCGTGATGGTGGGTGCGCTTGAGATTACATGCGATCTTTTTTACATACGTGGTATTAGACGAAACCATGCAACATTTGTCTGTAGGCATGTGGGGAGTAGAGAAACATTTTATCTCAACCATCCCATGCACAAACTAATGATTGAGATAATATCCTATACTAGACTTAAGGAGTTTGGGAATTAGACTCCCATAGGAATATAATGTCATTTAGAATTAATTTTAAAATTAAATTTCAAAAATGCAACCTCTTCGACACATAGATTAACTTTAATATAAAAAATAAAATAAAATCTAATTGTACCTTTTATACACCTTAAAAAAAGAAAGTCTCGACATTAAACAGAGATTGTCCAACTTTTAGATGGTGATATGTAACTATTGGAAGACTCAAAGTTCATATTTTTTTATTTGTAAAAATAGTTATTTTCAGGTAGTTTCAAACTTTCTGATTTAAAATATCCTTCAGGTGTTCTAACAAAGGGAGTAAACTTTGCTCCCAAAGGAGCATAGTATACATGCTCAATTTTCAAATGGAACCCATATCCCAGGATCTTATTAGCTTAGCTTTTGCAACTGGATAAGCAAGTGAACATATACACCTAATCTTTTTCAGCCTGCTGTCCAGCATTTACAAATGGCAATGTATACTGTGAAACTAGAAAAAATATATAGATAGACAAACTAAAAAAAATATATAGATAGACCATTTATCTTTGGGTGCAGTTCGCATACAGATGCATCCATAGCCATAGAGGTAAGGTGCACTTTTAAATTTTATCATGGTATATAATTTTGATGTAAAATGTTATTAGGATTATCGTAAAATATATTTTTATATCTAATAATAAAATTTAAAATTTTAAAAATAGTTAAAATCAAGTAGATCTATAAACATATAAAAATCTTGAATATGGACGGTGTAGATAATATATTGTAAAATGCACTATTTTATAGACTTAAAATCTTTTTATTTTTCATGGTCATACTTCTTGATGTTGAGATGATCGATCAAAAGGTTTTTCATCATTAAAACTACCTTTTCTGATAGATTTTTGAGGTGCATCCGAAGCTCTACATTATAAGGTTGCAACCTTATATAAACTTTTTCCTTTATCTTTTGTATAAGGACGACACAATCATTTTTGTCTATTACATTCCGGAATGGATTCTTGTAAGAGTATCATTGAACATATTCAAATTTTTTTAAAAAAGCTTCAACTATGTCATTTACTCCAAGCCATCCAATTTTACATCGAGTGGGTAGGAATAATTGTGACCATCTAATTGTACATCAAGTGGGTAGGAATAAATGTGACCTCCTTCTAAGATAAATAATAATAAATTTTCTTTTAAATTGGATTCAACGCATTATCAACGGCCCGATTTGCGATCCAATGGTTAATAATGATCAGTACGCCCTTAGTCAAAATATGTCTTTGATTGTGGACCTTTCCTTTACAAATAGGCATATACAATTGGCGCACCAGCGGCAAGGACTTATCGTTCGGCAAATCCTGGGCGCGCTCACTGCATTGCCTCCCCCCCCCCCCCTCTCTGTGGCTTTGCGAAATCTTGGATACTCTCTCACTGCAAAAGCCTGGGGTCGCTCTCTGTGCGAAATCTTGGGTACTTCTCTCTCTCTATTGCTATTAGGGCTTCAAGGTGCCGATGGCTTTTCAAAGATCTGAAAGTTGGATTTTTTCGATGTTTCTTGCAATCTGTGAAAGAAAAAACATTGGATTTGTGTTTGTATTTGCAGTAATTTGAGGCCGTATTGTTTTTAGATGGGTGTACATCATCTGTAGATGAAAACGCTTGGTTCTCCTCGAAGGCTACCCATTTCTTTTTAAGGCTACCCATTTCTTTTTATAAAATTTGTTCTTTTCAATACCTGTAATTTCTCAGTATTATTATATTGTCGTGTCCTAATTCTCATGCTTCTGTAGAGAGAAGAGAGAGAGAGAGTAAAAAAAGAGCAACAAAGAAACAATCCAGGAAAAAAGAAAGAAAAAATGACAATATTGTAGTTCACTCACTCACTCTTGAGTAAGAAACAGATCAATACTGGAAGTCACTAGAAAAAAATTTCTCTTATTTAATACCTCTTTTAATTATGAATTTTGTGAAGTAGATGGAGTGAGAAAGAGGGAACTTCCCTTCTTATTAGTTTTTGGAGGCTGGAATTCAATTTCTGTCTCTTGTAACTGCTTTTTTACCGAAGAAATGTTTCTTTCTCTCTCTCATGGATTGTAGAGTTCTTTTTAGCTTAGGCTGCATGCCAGAATATTAATTACAAAACGGTGTTTATTCTTTTTTCTCGATATGTCATTCAATGTTATTAATTCAACAACGATAAGTAGAGAAGAGCCAATTGCCATATAAATCCCTTTTTTAGGGCGTGTTTGAATAATGGAAGCCGTGGCATCCTTAGCTGCGGCACTTGCCGTATTTCTTAAACACGGGAAACAGTATGTTGTTCTGCAAGCCAGGGGAAGTGTTCCAAAACAGTGTTAGAGAAGCTGCAGCCTCTGAAGTTGGTGGAAGAGGCTGCTTTCAATCAAACACGCCTTTTGGAAGTTAAGAAGTCCCATATATTTAAACTCCCCTTTTCCATTTCTTTAGTGGCCAAGCAATTTGCTAAGGCATTTACTTACCTAGAGACATATACCCATAGATGAACTAACTTTCCTAATCTCCCTACACCATCTTATGACATTGATGGAGTCACAGTAAAAAGAGTAGTGGATTTTAAAACTTGTGTTTTTGACATTTGAACCCTTGCTATTTCCATTTCTTTTTCTTCTCACATTGGGGCCCCTATTAAGAACCTATGCTCAGTGTTCTTATCATTTGTGAATCGAACAAAACATACTTTAAAGATTTCAAAAGTGTCTGTTAAGCTTTCATTGGAGTTCCCAGTTTACTATGGTTCTGTAACCTAGTTAAGTTGACTTGTGATTTTGGGGTTACATTGATGAGGGGTGGATTCATAATATAAGATAGACTTGGTAGTGTTATATATATATATATATATATATAGACTTGCTAAGTGTTCACTATTGTTCGAATTGGTGTGGCTGTTCAATAGCATGTGGAGTGCACAAATTGAGGATATCATCTGGAAAAAATTTTTTTAATGAAATTATAAGACTTTGTTCTCGCAGAAAAAAAGAAAAGAAAAAAGAATAAGAAAAGGGAAATTATAGGATTTCTGCATAATGGATTCATATTCAATGGTAACAATTATCCGTACAGCTATTGTGATTGCAAGTTCTCTACATAATGGTTTCTTATTTCTCTTGTCATTTTATGGAAGGTAAAATGAAATGGTAAAACTTTTTTATTGTTAACTGAGAGTGAAATGGTAATTTTGTGGAGCAAAGCCTGATCATATTGGATGATCCTGGCATTCTAAATTTTCAGGTAGAAACATATTTATTTTCTGTTAGTTTATTAGATTTTAACATTTATTATTGGTTATTTCAGTTTGGATATATATTTTTCCAGAGTGCTAATGCATGTTGCTAGTTATACTGACTTGGTTTTCTACTCATTGGGAGGACACCATGCCAAAGATAAAGACAAATCGTGTCCAATATCCTGGTGGATGGGAGCTAATTGAACCTACTCTTCGTGAGCTAGAGGCAAAGATGCGAGAAGGTTTGACTTGCTGCATTTATGCAGTATAACTATGAGGGGAAGTTTATTATAACGCAAGGGATTATAATAAACTAGAGTCCTTTGGAATGAACTCCATCCATTGAAACATACCGTGATAGAGAGAGAGTGGGACTCATTAGAATAGGTTGTGACCCAGAGTTGGTCCACTCTTCCTTCATCATTACACTGGATGGTGATGACTCCAATATGCTATAGTTGTCCATTGCCCATTTGATAATGAGGGGAAGTTTATTATATTGCAATGGATTATGATAAACTAGAGTCTTTGGGGTGAACTCTGTCCACTGAAACAGACAATGATGGAGAGAGAGTGGGACCCAGGAGAATAGTTCGTGACCCCAGATTTGGTTCACTCTTCCTCCATCATTTCGCTGGATGATGGTGACTCCAATACTATCATTGTCCATTGCCTTGCCCATTTGATAATTCATCCCTGCTGTCTCTGCACCCCATTCTGCTCTCAATATTGTAGCCAATTGTAATTTGTACTCTTCCAATTGTTCATTAAAACTTACCACTGATCATGAAAAGATAGTATACTTTCCCTATGAACTGATTCATCTATAATGCTTCTTGGAGATTTTGATCTTTTTACATGCTCTGAATTCTAATGTGGATTTCGTTTTGATAATTAGCCGAGAATGATACTCATGATGGTAAGAGAAAGTGTGAGGCCCTTTGGCCGATATTCCGAATAGCTCATCAGAAGAGTCGCTACATATATGACCTTTACTATCGAAGAAAGGAAATTTCGAAGGAGTTATATGAGTTCTGTTTGGAACAAGGCTATGCTGATCGCAATCTAATTGCTAAATGGAAAAAGGTTAGTCTTCATACCCATTTGGTAATCACAACCTTGTTATGTATTTCTTGCCCTGTATCTGTGATAATATATATTGTTGAAGGGCGTTATATTCACATGCTTATTTTTTAAATGTAGTACTTAAGTGCTTCATATCTCAATCATCATCATTATCATTAGTGTCTTATCTCAACTATCGGGGTCGGCTGCTTCATATCTCAATATTCTATTTTACTTAACATATAATTTTTAAAATGTGTCGAGGTTATGGTTTGTTAATACTTAACACGGACGGTGTAGGTGTAAATCCAAACCTTAAGATTTTCCCATTCATCATGACATGAAAGGCTAATTACTTTGAGTTGTAGAAGCAATGAAATCAGAGCCATTTGTGATTATACAGATTAGGTTTCCATGTTTGCCTCGAGCATTTTAGAAGCTAGGGCATGCTGACAAAATTTTTGGTCAATGTTTTTAACTTTTTATTGAAGGATTCTTGCATTCATTGTTATGGGAAGATGGGGAAAGGAGTTCTTTTTCTTTTTTAAATGATTGATGATAGGTAAAGGACTTAACTAACCTTACTGTATCTTTCTCTCAAATAAAGTGCCAATGAACTTCAATGACTTGATTCATTTATGAACACCATGATGATGGTTTTTTGGCTTATAATAATCATAATGGTGGCAAGGATTTTGGTTGTATGCTAGTACTACAGAATAGGGCAAAAGGAAGAGTGATCTCATTGCAAGCATGTAGGTAGCATAATACATGTTAACAAGATAGATTATATTCGGAACTTTTGCTATTAAGGTTTGCATGGAGGATTGAATGCCAAGTTGTTGGTGAAGGTAAATAGTGATTGTATTTACTACAACGAACACTTATTAATAAAAGAAAACTAACGGCATCTCCTAGAATTTACATCAGTGGTGGATATAGAAGCTTAATAAAAGAAAACTAACGGCATCTCCTAGAATTTACATCAGTGGTGGATATAGAAGCCTAGAGAACAAGTGTTGGTTCCTAGTAATGCCATTTTATTGCAGGTTCTGCGATTGCGGTGCAGGTAACAGGAGAAACACACCCTAATTGTTGTTTACCAGCTACTTATTTGATGTTTTCCATCTCTTTGTGCTAATAAGTGTTAAACAAAACCTGCTTTCTGACCATTCTAATTTGACATTCCTAGGAGTAGAAAAATTCCTCATCTTCCAACCCATTGATCCAATTATATTAACAGTGAATTTCTATGCAGTAAGTTCCCCCATGGATTGATGGAGATGGAAAATACTGCTTCCTCCATGGATTTGTTGTAGAAGGGGGAAGACTAGAGAGCAGTGATGTTGTTAAAGGTGCTAGGAAAGATGGTGATTGAAGTGGAAAAGGAAGCCATCTAGGAAACACTGGAGATGTTGAGTACCTGTTTGGTGGGGAAGTTTAACATCCCTATTTCCAATGCTTACTCTTATTGCTAGAGGGTTTCATACAAATGGAAAAGAACCACTGCGGTGGGGTACATATTGTGGAAGGAGCTGATTTTCTCCTCTACTTGCAATCTTCTAGAGAAGTGGAATGTGTATTAAACATGGGAGGTAGAATGTCGGACGTGGCTCACTTGAAGTTAGGAAGGCAGTATCCTGGTTGCCAAGGTTCCTTTGGAAGACAAACAGATTGCTGGATTAAGGTAAGAGGCATCCCCATGCATGTTTAACATTTTGGGTTTTCTGGGAGCTAGAGGGATATGTCTAGGTTTTATTGAACTAGATTGGAAATCCCTCTATGAAAGTATATTGAGGCAGCTAGAATTAGCGAGCATTTGTTCAAAAGGTGTGCTCCAGAGATGATTCTCTTGTGTACAGATGGCCTGGAGTAACCTGTGTTGGCGAAGGCAAAGAGAGCAAATGTAGGTGGGAGTGAAGCAGCGAAGATCAGTGATGCATGGATTACTTGTATATGCTTAACGTATCGGTATTGTACCTTACTGACACTGATAATGATACCATATGCACCTAGAATACTTGTGAATACGCCAAAAACTATAATATGTATAAAATATAATACTGGTACATATATGCATCACTGTGTTGGATACATATATCTATGTATTATACCGGGCAGGTGATAATATAAATGTAATATTAGATAGGATACCCATATCTCTATCCGTGTCTTTAATGTTGAGAAATGCAGAATTATATCCATATCCTTATCAGGGCATCTTAGGCTACGATGGCAATTATGGAAGCTTATCCTTGTCGGGGCATCATAGGCTAAGATAGCAATTATGGAAGCTTATCCTTGTCGGGCCATCATAGGCTAAGATAGCAATTATAGAAGCTTATACTGATATCACCACAATAGGGAAGGTGAGTGGCAGGTGGTTGTAAAATTGAGCACGGATTAATGAGCAAAGAAAGAGTAGGAAGCCTGGGAAGAGGCAAAAGAGGAAGGTGGGCAGATGCTTTGGATGGAGGCCAATGTTTAACACTGGGTGCAAGCTGAAAGTACTTTTGAGGAACAATTTGTTTGTTAGCCAAGGATCATGTATAATGAATCTGGTTAGAGTCTAGAAGGCTTGTTCATTTTGGGTTCAAGAAACCGTCTCCTCAGTGGCAGCAGAGGCTGCAAAAATTGATAGAAAATAGAAGTATTTTTTGATAAGAGTTAACTGTATTGCTATAAAAAATTGTTGTACATGGAGTGTTTAAATCGAGAGTCCCTCCATGACAGGACTCTCCATAAAAAATAGGTCAGTCGACCCTATACGAAATGGAATTGATAGAAAATAGAATTGAGATAGAGGAAAATTTCAACCATATACTCCTAAAACAAAAGCACTCCACAAGCTTGAAATAGGAGAGAGAACCAGCCAACTAGTTATATGTTCTCTAAGCAGCACAATATTTTCTTCTTCAATAAAAACATCCTAAATTTTTAGCAGTCCTAGTGAAGGCCTCCTATCCCTTTGTATACATAAAATTAAATAAATAAACAAACAAACGAAGATAAGCCCTTTTATTATGTGGTTTGCATAAGGTTGCAACCTTAAACAATCACATTAAGCCCACCTCTAAATTTTATCATAAGATGTGATTTTTGTGTCAAGAATTCTTAGGAAGGCCTGAAAATCTGTTTTCATCTCTAATTATAAAATATTAAGCTCCAAAAATGGTTCGCATTTAGTAGATCTATAAATACATTAAAATTTCGAAAATGGATGGTTCAGATAATGTATTGCAAGATGCCCACTTTTGGGACTCGAAATCTTTTTTTTTTTTAATTCATACATCTCGATGTTGAGATGATCAATTAGACGGTTTTTCAACATCAAAACAGCCTTTTCTCATGGATTTTTAAGTGCTCCTAAATTCTACATTTTAAGGTTGCAACCTTCTATAAACTTTTTCCTTTGTTAAATGTGTAAATACTGTCCCCAGAGGATTCACAAGCCTAATACAAATCCCACTTTCTGGTAGCTCAGCACATGTATCCTCTTCAAAACCCTATAATTCTAGGGCTCCCTTAAAATTAATAATTAAGAAGTGCCAAATAAATAAAAGGGAAATTATTGGACAGATCCCCTATTTTTTTCAATATTAAAAAAGAGTCCCAAAATTGATCTATTTTACAAATAGGTCCCTTTTTTCTTCCCTTTTGCTATTGATGAAATTGGAAGGGTCGAACTAGGATGAATTCACCAAGGCCCAAAAATTGCTCACAAAATCCAGTTCGATCTTCGAGGGTCGAACTAGTATGAAGTCACGATGGTTAAAAAATATTTCTCAAAAACTAGTTTGACACTTCAAGGGTCAAACTAAGACTTTTTTTAAGCTTGCCATCAAGTAGAAGGGTTGAACTACATGTATGTTTTTTATAGTCACCAAGTGAGGTATTCACACAGCACAAAATAGTTTCGTAACTTAAAACGAAACTGTATGTTTCAACGGCAAAGTTTGTCATACATGGCTTAAAGCATAAGAATGTGGGTAACCGGCACTAAAAAAATGTCCTGAGTTCTTATGAACTGCTACTTTGTGATTGATAATGTTTATCATTTACAACTACAACAAAGCTTTCCTAGAAGGACTAGATAGATTGCATTGAACTTAGTTACTTGAGGTGTGGAGGACTATAGTAGGTGATAGAACTACTCGCCACCAGCTTAAGGAGGTTCCCTAGTTAAAACATACGTAAAACTTTGGTGGTTGATCATTCTGCAATCCGAAATTGCTGGAACATGATGGGTTTGGTAAAAAAACATATTGGGGTATTTGGAAAACGGTACTTTTCTAGTGTCGTGTGGAGACCAAATGAGTTCTACACTAGTGTTGAACTCACTTGGTGAATAAAGCAAAACGCCAAGTGTAGTTCAACCGTTGTGGTACTTGGTGACGAGCTTAAAAAGAAGTCCTAGTTTGACCCTTGCAGGGTCAAACTAATTTTGGAGAAATATATTTTAAAAGGTCAAACGAAGGGCAATTTCATCCATATAAAAGGGGCGAAAAAGGGACCTGTTTGCAAACTAGAGCAATTTTGGGTGCATTTTTTAATATCGAAAAAAGGGGATCTGTATGATAATTTCCCTAAATAAAACAGAAAGTCAAGTTCAAGAGATGTTTATTCCTTGACTGCATTATCAGAAAGAACTAGAATTCCGTGAGTTTGGAGCCTTATACTCTTAAAAAAATTTCTTATCGGTGGCCCTTAGATCCAATTATGAAATGTGCGTACTATCTGGCACCACGTACAATCTGACATGATCATCAGCCACTTGATGATGGAAAGAATGGGAGTCGAGTTCTCAGGAGGGAGGTGATAAAGCCATTGCAGGGAGTCATTACGAGTTTCAAAACACTGCCTCCAGGTTTGCTTTATGATGAGATTGATTATAGATCTTTTATCAACCATGCGAAGGCTAGCTCTCCTAAATCAAATCTACTTCATGCTTTACAGTTGTGTCTAACGAGTTACCTGCATCAGAAAAATTATAGGATGGACGATGGGTTTTTCCTTGACCCTTCTTTTCTAGGGTTCTGCATTTTTTTTTTCCCATATGATTTTCAAAGTACTTCAGCACATGCTTTTAAGTTTGAATACATTCTTTAGCTTATGGTTCATGGATTGATGTGCATTCTTTTGCAATTTTCCAACTTATTAGACTTTATTAATTATTATAATCCATTATGAGAAAATAAATCCATTAGTTATACTTGAAGGATTTTTATTCTTTTCTTTTGTGTATGGCTCACAGCCTGGGTATGAAAGGCTTTGTTGCTTACGGTGCATACAACCACGAGATCATAACTTCAACACGACATGTGTTTGTAGAGTGCCAAAGCATTTGAGGGAAGAGAAGGTTATAGAATGCGTTCACTGTGGTTGCAGGGGTTGTGCTAGTGGAGACTGATAAATTTGAAAGACAAGATTGTATGATTTTCTCAGCAGATGGACTTTTGTAGGATTAACATTGTTTTGCATGTATAGGAAAGATCAAACTTTCCAAGCCTTGGAAATCAAAGAAAGCTGTGTATTAATCTCTCTGTTGGGTGTTGGATAGGGCATTTTTGATGGTTTTGGCAGATTGTTGAGGATATTAGTGCCTTAAATTCTCATTTATTTTCATACAAAGCAAAACCGATCTTCCTAAACTGGAACTATAATTTGCTAGTTAGAGCAAACTGATCTTCCTAACCTGAAATTAGAATTTGCCAGTTATCTTTTTTCTGCAGGGATTGACTAATATATCTATTGTACAAAGATGTCACGATCGCTCCTAGATGTTAGATGTGAAATCTAACATTTTTAGTGTGTTACATAGTTTGAGATATCTCTTTTGAGGCTTTGGGCACACCTTTGGCTACGCTATTTGAAGTTCAATGGTCAAAAGTGATTGTGACCGTTTTGTATTAGAGGTAAATGATTGAATCTGTACTTTCTTTTTTCATGTGGTAAAGCTTCGAGAAACCTTAGTTACCTGAATTTACTGCTTGTTGATTTCCCAAAATTTGACTTCAATATTTGTGAGCATGGCTTCAATAGGTTATTTATTTATACTATTCTGGTTCTCAGTGACCACAAGCAATTAGATTTTCAGAAATAACAGCAAATATATAGGAATCTCAAAAACTTACCCTTAACGAAAGACTATTTTATGGCTACCTTGAACTAATGTCTCAGAAAATGTCTAGAACATTCCCCAGTCTTTTAGTTCTTAGTGAGCAGCTGTGGGAAAAACTTCCAAGGTAAGCAATTCCTATTTGAAGCAACAGAGCCTTTCACACCCAGGCTGAAATTTTAATTCATGAATAGGAAAAAAAATGAAATAAAGGACACCATGTTTTGATAATGTACATTGGATAAAAAGTAAAAGTAATTAATCATGGAAAAACACAGACATGACCAAAGTCTTATTAAAGGAAAGAAAAATAAGTTAAGGCGTGCAGAATTTATATTTGTTAAAAGATGTGTACTGGAGCAAGTGTGTTTATATTAAGGGTGCAGTTAGCATACGGATGCATCCGTAGGTGTAGAGGTAAGGTGCACTTTCAAATTTTATCATGGTATATAGTTTTGATGTAAAATGGTATATAATTTTGATGTAAAATGTTCTTAGGATTATATCAAAATCTATTTTTATATCTAATTATAAAATTTTAAATTTCAAAAATGGTTAAAATCAAGTAGATCTATGAACTTATGAAAATCTTGAAAACAGACGGTGTAGATAATATGTTGTAAAATGCAGTATTTTTGAGACTTAAAATCTTTTTATTTTTTATGATCATACATCTCGATGTCGAGATGATCAATCAAAGGGTTTTTCAACATTAAAACTACCTTTTTCAATAGATTTTTGAGGTGCATCGGTAGTTCTACATATAAGGTTGCAACCTTATATAAAACTTTTTCCTTATATTAAACTTGGACCATTGGAAACTCTTTCAGAATTTTTTATATAAATTTGTAGCTTCAAATATTGTTTTCAATTTTGAGCCAATTTTTTGTTAGTAATGTAGCAGTTTCTTTTACTCGTTTTTAGTTGATCGATGTAATTGTACCCGTTTTTAGTTGACTATGTAAACATTAGCATTGTTTTCCAGCTTTCCATGCTTTGGGTTGCTCTCACGAGAATTTCAACCCAATGTGATTCCTATTTATTCTTTTTCATCGCTATGAGAATGAAAACTACAATATGGTGACTAGTGTTTGGGGTGCTATCACCATAACTGAAGCCTTTTTCCCTGATATCATGAAGTTGAACATGGATTGTCCGGTTATTAGATAATATTGACATATATAATATAGAAAGAGAGTTATCTCCTGTGATTTTAAATGTTTAATTTGAAAATCTTATCTTTCATATGCTTGCTCGCCTCCAAAAGTTGGTATATATCTTGTGTTTGGAACTCCATGAAATATGAATCGAAATGCACTGGAGAACAACGAGAACACCAACAAGAAGGAACAAATTTCAATTAATCAAATATATTACAACTGAAAGAAACTGGGCTTGTAATAGTTTGTGCTGCCTAGAGTCTCAAGCCATATGTGGTCCTCATTTGGGAAGGTTTGAGGGTTGGAAGGCCCATAGGAAAACATGGGTTTTGTCTAGCAAGCTTTCAAACAAGATATCTTAAACCATAAGTTTCTAATCAAATTTTCTAGTATTGAGCTCTTAGTGAAAATTGATGGAGCGCGTATCAAACTATACCTGAGATCAGAGTAGGGGTGTCGTGAAGCTGGTGATTGTACAGTTCGGATTTTTGGATTAGGAACCCATGTTGGCCTTTTAGAGAGAGAAAAAAGCAGAGGAAGCTCTGTAGCCTTTTAGGTTTTATTGTTTTCTTCCTCTCTTTGGCTTACCATTTTATAAGGAGAAGATGAGCTAATCATTATATTTCTCCAACGGGTCTTTGAGAAAAAAAAAGGGTTTTCATGATCTCATGGATATTCATCCAACGTTCATATGAACGTTGGATATAATTTTTTGGATAATTATAATGAATATTGCATTCTCACAATTGTAGGCTAAGACACGTAAGGCCTTATAACCATACGTGTCAACATCTCCCACTTGGCTATGACGGCCGAGCTTAATATATATTGTAACAATCCTAAAATTTCAAAAAAAAAAAAAAAAAAGAGGAGAAAGATGCTTTTAAATAGGTGATGGTCTGATTGAGTATGATGGTCCTTGGGGACCATCACTATTTTCAAAACTTTTTTACTTGGTTTAAACTTCTGCTGTTGCTTTTGTTTGCAGCCTTTGCAGTTGCTGCTTGTAGCTGGCCACGTCCTTTAGTGGACGTGGTTTTCGTATGTTAAAAGCAGACGCTTAACGCGACACCTCAGGTATTAGGTATAGCGTAATAAAATATTATAATAATACGTTATAAGAATTTAAATAGGGGAGGTGAGCACTCCCACCTTAGAAAATTTTGAGATCTCTCTCTCTGGTCGAAACACAGTGAACTCCTCTCTCGAACCGAATTTTTTATCAGAAGCTCCATCTCAAACAATTGTGGGTAA